TCATTAAAAATATTATTTCAAATCTTATTACAACGAACAAATTTCCAATATTGTAATAATAAAATATTATAAAAAGATCCGGAAAAATCAAAATTAATCGAAAATCCTATATTAGACCAATCAAATTTTAGTATTTTGAACTAATCCCGGCCATTCTTTAGGAGTACAACTGGATGTGCGAGAAATGTAAGGTTTCGGAAGGAGGACTAAAATATAAAAATGTTATTAATTATGGTTAGATCACAATTTGAAATAAATTTATTTATTAAAACAAACCAAAAAAATTTAAAAACTACTATGATAATAACTAAAGTCTGTTTAGTACCCTGGCCTCCAGATTTTTAGACACCAACGGTTTTAATTTTTGATAATTTAGCAATAATTCTTCCTAGTATAAGTAACCCACTTCTTTAATACAACGAATTTGGTGGTAGGTAATTATTTGAAATTGGATTTGAGACAAGGATCAATCTATTTGTTGATAAGTTCAGTTAATCATCGTTGGGAAATTATCAGACGTGATACAAGAGCATTGGATAAACCTGTGTATTGGATTATTATGTCATTCGCTTAGAATTGGATTTGTGATTGAATTGGATTTTTACGTCTTTCCCTGTTGTGCATGTATGAAGCCTTACATTTATAATTACGTAAAAACCATTCAAGTATAGTTCGTTCTCTTTTATCTCAAAATAAAATGGATAAAAATCTTCCAGGATACAATACAAAACGTACAAAACGATCCTAAAAATGAGATAGTGAAAGAATTTAATCAATATTTCCGGGTTAATCGAACAAGTCTTCGCCTCATAATAAACAAGCTTTTCGTTGCGCGTGACAAATAGAGTTTCTAATTCAATTACTTATAACTGAAACGAAGGTGCTGATACAAGAATTCCATAAACAACGGATTGAATTTGGATGCGATTACCAAATTGGGCCTTAAGATTAAACCGATTACGTTCATTTTTTATAATTTATTAATGAATTGGATTTAACGATCATGTCCAAGAAAAGTTACTATATTCTTATAAATAGGGCTTCTCCTTACTTCCTGTTCCGATAGTTATATTTAATTACATACAGTATATTAAATTTACTAATTTTGCAATTTATTTTTTTTTTTTTTCACGAATATATTATGTCAAACGACTTTGCGACCGGAGAATATCTAGCATATCTAGAATTTCTGAAGATTATAACTCAGCTCAGTAAAAATTATCAAGGAACACCCTTTTGTTTAGGAGAATATCTGGAGATTCTAAATCGGCTAAGGCAACATAATCAAGCACCCCCCATTTCCTTTGAACTATTGTTGGGAATTCTGGCCCTATATATTCCAGAAAACATCATTACTTTTGAAGAATTTCGGGAATTCTAATTTTACAAATCCAATGTAATCAGGCACCACCCAGTCAATTTGGAGAAATTTCACAGCCAAGCCAAAATTATCTAGAATTATCCAGTTCTTTAGGAGAAATTCCGCAACAAGGCCAATATTATCCAGCATTACTCAGTCCTTTAGAATACCCGCAGCCATACCAGGAATCAACCTTACACTCTCAAGAAATTAGTGAAGGTCGACCGAACGAGCCTGATGTGGAGTCTTTGGCTTCCAGCCAAATACACAATACAGCAGCTCTTGTGAACCATAATGATCAACCTTTTACCTTTGAAAATGAAAATAATCATCAAGCATTTGACTCTCAAAATGGTAAAAAATATTTATTTTCCGTGAATTTATTTATATAAAGATCGACATCAACTATTTTCCTATTTAAGAAAAAAATTTTTTTTAGAATTAGAATACCCGCAGCAATGCCAGGAATCAACCTTCTACTCTCAAGAAATTAGTGGAGGTCGACCGAACGAGCTTCATGTGGAGTCTTTGGCTTCTAGCCAAATACACAATACAGCAGCTCTTGTGAACCATAACGATACACTCTCAAACAATGGCATGCAAGGACCCGATGACTGTGTTGCCTTCGATAAGTTTAATAATCAACAAAGTAATAAAGTTTATTTTGGAAATGCAAAATAAATATTATTCAATAACTGAGATTCTATCCTTCTTAGACTCAAAGAAAAATAAAGCACGTTGGGGAAAGGAAGAAACTATGTGCTTACTTATATATTTGATAGTAAATAAAGAAAAGGCTCAACAGCTCAAAAGTCGGGGCGTTATAGCTTTCGTCTGATATTCTTTCAAATAATAACCATAACCGTGATGCCAAACAATGTTTGATTAAATAGAAAAATCTTCAACGGGATTACATAGTATGAAAATTATTTTTTAACTTATGGACGATGACATACAGTAATTATAATTTTATTAAAATGAATGATTTACCTTTTTTAGACTAAAACAAGCTTTTTGAATAAGTCAGAAGTTGAAGAAATACTATGGCCTAGGTTAACTCAAAAGATTATGATTTGAATTTTAAGGAGAATATTTCTAAAAATTCATAATATATTTTATGAAGTATTAGCACTTAAAAATACGAAAACACAGATTTAGAATGTAAAGGATTAAGATACAGGCAACCAAATAATAATTTTTCATTCAGTGTCACTTAAAAATTGTAGCTCGTGTAACAAATTGTGTACAATATATTTATGTAAACTAGTTATAAAAAAAGTAGCTTTTTTTAACATAACTTTTAGATATATATGATTATTTAGATCTAAAGTTTATTTCGATCATTTCGACTTTTATTTCGACTTTAGTCTTTTTAAATCGAATTATTTCGATTTTCGGCTTTTATGTAATTTATGTAATATTTCCGAAACATAAAGAAAAAAAAAAAATTATTTGATGTAAAACATAATTAAATAAAAATAATAAAACTGGTAATTACCTGTATTTACTAATTCACGATTACGTTTTATTGAGCACCTTTTCTCTTTCTGAAATACTAGTGATTTCCATTGCAATCAAACCGGTTCCAATTACAATGGTACAAAATTTTTTTAATACCTATATTAATTATAGATCTGGATTGTCAAAGAATATTAAACCACTTTATCACGCAGTAAAATCTTTAAGCACGTAAAAAAATTTTGTCACAAGTCCTTGGATAGATAATTTCTGAATTAATTTTGCAACTCGTTTTAAATTCGTTTTTTTTTCACTTTAAATTTCGGTTGTGTCACAAGGTGCATAATCAATATGGAAAAATTTTCATTTCGCGTAAAAAGATGAGTAATTGTGCTGAGATAATAAGTTGTGTATAATACAACGTTTCCCATTATGACTAACAGTTAAACAAGCTATTTGCTTAATAAAAATTTAAATGAATGGAATAAATTATTGTCTGAAAATATAAAAAAGGAAAAAACAATGAAATCCTTTCACACATTCTAAATAAAACGATCCTTGTACATGTTCGTTTAAATGATATAAATGTAGAAAATAATAAAACTAAAAAGACATTTATTATAATCAAACCTATTCCTTTGATTGTGAATTCATACAATTCGCTTGTATTGTAAAAAGAAATCTTAATTACGCGTTCACACTGCGCATTTTTTACCAAAAATCTTTCTTAAGATATAATTTGCTTTATTTATTACTTTACTAGATTTTTTCAAAAAGTTTTTCGACGTGTAGATTTTTTTTAATCTGCATGATAAAAAATATTCTCCCTGCGTCAAATTTTATTTTCAAGCACAAAATAAAATCATATTTGCTCATTAAACATGATGCAGCAAACAAATGCTACCTACGCTTTTAATGCACCTTGCGAATAATCTTCTCAAACATTTTACCTGTACGACATCAGTAACAAAATTTTTTTGCATCCAATCCTCTTGTGCAGTGATTGCCAGTGACCCAAATTAGTGATATGTACAGAACCCGAATTCAATTCGACTCGGTCATTGTTCAACTCGGATTCGACTCGACCCGATTATTGTTTAACCCGGATTCGTCTCGAATTTTCAAAGGTACAATTATTAAAGATAATAAAAAAGTATCATAGCAAATTTGAAAAAATTAAAATCTATTCATTTTTTGTTGCACATTTTTATCTTTAATTACATCTGTTTCCGGATTTCAAACACATAATTGTATTATCTTTAAGACCACATTTTTTTTGTTGATATTATTGGTTCCGCCAGAAAAAACTCGTTTACTTAAACACTTGTTTTATTTAAAAAAAAAAAGTATTATTTATGTTCAATAATCGATAATTTTTTTTTTACCTGATAATCTCTAGCCATTATGGATATTCGGTTTCATATAACTATATAATTTAATTGAATTAATAAATTAAATAAATTAACATTTTTTTTTTTATATTTGAAAAATATAAAACTTATTCATCATTATTATTTACTACTTATACAGTATATCTATCAGTAATAGCTGACGTATAGTTGGCGTTATAAATTAAGAACTGTTTTTTTTAGCATAACGAATAAGCTTTGTTTCCATTCATAATATCAGTGTGTTATAATTTATCCTATATTTTTTTTTTTTTTTTTTTTACGATGTGGCACTGCCAATAACTTTATTAAATTTATATAGAAGAAATACAAAGTAAATCAATAAATCTAGACTAAGT